CTCAATCCATTCTTTTTGTTGATGGGCATTTAGGTTGTTTCCAGCTCTTTCCTTTTGTGAGCAAAGCCGTGATAAACATGGGTGAGCATATATCTACCTGGGTGGCAGTTATGGTTTCTCTGGGGTATATTCCCAGAAGTGGAATTGCTGGTATTTCTATTTGCAACTTTTTGAGAAAGGGCCATACTGCCTTCCATAGTGGTTGCACCATTTTACACTTCCACCAACAGTGAATAAGGGTTCCCATTCTCCACAACCTCGCCATCATTTGTTGCTTGCTTTTCTGTTAAATTTTTCTGTTCTTACTGGAGTGAGATGATACCTCATAGTTGTTTTGATTTGCATCTCTCTTAAAGGTAGGGGTTTTGAACAATTCATCATGTGCTTGATGGCCATCTGAATGTCTTCTTTAGTGAATGTCTGTTTGTATCCTGTGCACATTTTTCAATTGGATTGCTTACCTTTGTCTTGTTGTGGTGACAAAGGTGTTTCTTTAGAACCAGTCTCCATAAATAATGTCTTAGAAAGGGCTCTTTGGGGAAACAAAACCAATGATGAAACTTTTATATGTTAAAATAACAAACACTTCCTTGCCCTAGAGTCAGAATACAGCTAACTCATAGCGGGTTTACAGAGCCTGCAACCAAGCAGACTACCCATCTTTGTCCCTCAGAGTCACTACTGGATTGGATTCAAACCAGCCCCTTATAGGTTAGCAGCTTAACTCTCTACAGACTACTCCCCAGAGCTTGTGTGTGTGTGTGTGTGTGTGTGTGTGTGTGTGTGTGTGTGTGTGTGGTGGCAGTGGTGTCGTTAGGTGTCGTTGAGTAGAGTGTGACTCATAGAGACCCTATGAACAACAGATGAACCTTTTCCTATTCTGTGCCATCCTGACACACTAGAGCCCATTGCAGTAGTGACCGTGTCTATCTTCTTGGTCAAGGGTCTTTCTCTCTTTTGTTGACCTTCCATCCTTCCTAGCATCATGTCCTTCTATGAGGAATAGCCCCTCCTAAAAACACTCCCAAAGTATGTGAGGTGAAGCCTCATCATTCTTTGTTTCAAAGAGCACTCCAGCTCCACATCTTCCGAGACATTTGTTTGTTCTTTTGGCAGTCTATGGGATGGATATTCAGTGTTCTTCTCCAACATCACAGCTCAAAGACATCAATTCTTCTGTCCTCCCTGTTCATTGTCCATCTTTAAGCTGCATGGCAAGTGATTGAAAAGACTATGGCCTGAATCAGACAAACCATAGTCCTCAAACTGACAATAATCTGGAGAGGTTCTTAACTACAGACTTTGCCAGTGCAGTGTCTTCTTATTTCCTGACTGCTGGTCAGGAACTCTGGGTGTTAATTGTGGATCCAAGTAAGATGGCATTGTTGTCAGTTTCACTCTCTTCTTCAATCATAATGATGTTTCCTATTGGCCCATTGTTAAGAATCTCTGGTTTTGTGACATTGAGATGCAATCAATATTGAAGTCTACATTCCTTGATCTTGAGCAAAAAGTGCTTCAAGTCTCCCTCACTTTCCGTAAGTAAGTGTCTGTCATCTGCATACTGCAGGTTATTAATGATCTTCCTCTTCATAGAGCCCAGCTTCACTAATGCTCTGCTCAGCATACATCTTGAATAGGTATGGAGAAAGAATACAACCCTGCCACATTTCCTTCTTAATTATAAACCATGAAAGGTTCCCTGTTTTGTTCACACAACAGCCTCCTGGTCTAGATATAGGTTTCTTATGAGCACAGTTAAGTGCTCTGAGACTTCTATTCCTCTCACTGTCAGCACAACTTGCTATGGTCCACACATTCAAGTCTTTGCATAGTCAATAAAGCATAAATAAAGCATTTTTCTAATACTATTTCTTCCAGCCAGCATCCACCTTACATTAGTAATGATATCCCTGGTGCAATGGCCTCTTCTTAATTCTGCTTGAACTATCTATGTACTATTCTAGCTGCTTTTAAATGATCTTCAGCAGTATTTTGCATGAATGTGATATTAATGGTATTTTTTATAGTTTCCACATTTTGTTGGATCACCTCTCTTAGGAAAGAGAACAAATACGGACTTTTTCCAATTTGTTGGTCACCCAGCTGTCCTCCAAATTCCCTGATAGACTGGTGAGCACATCTAAATAATTTACAAAATCATAGCTCCTGCGTGCTGCATAGTATTCAAATATGTGGATGTACCACAATTTCTCAATCCATTCCATTTTGGCTGGACATTTGAGCTGTTTACATGTTCTTGCAATGGTGAATAATGCTGCCATGAACAGTGAAATTGGCTCAGGATAGTTTAGAGTTATTGTATATATGGTTTCTATGAGTTGTAGGAGCCTCAATGGCACACAACAACAACAATACATATAGATACTATTGCTTTCTATATATTAGATATACATATCTAATACATGAATTTTTTATGCTACGTACCATCAACTCAGAACCAACTCATAACTGACCCTCCAGCAGGTTTTCAGAGGCAGTAAATCACACAGAAAGAGACTTCTCATCTGTCTCTTGCAGAGTAGCTGGTGAAGTCAAAGCACATGCCTTTGCATTGCAATGCTGTTTCTTATCACTAGGCCACTAGAGCTCCCTAACATATTCATATCATATCATAACATTATATTATATAATACCTTATATATTATGTTGTTTATAATTTATCTATTTCTGATTGCAAAGTTGGTAGAAATCTATTTCCTCCTCTTTGGCTCTAGTTGTTGGTGCATATATTTGAATAATAGTGATATTCACTGGACTTTCTTGTATGCATATGAATATTATCCTGTCACTCACCACATTGTATTTCAAGATAGATCTTAAAATTACTTTTTTAACCCCATTTTCCCTCACCTTTTCATTTCCGGTATAAAGACATCATCTGACCATCTGATTCAAAATGTCCTATGCCAGTTGATCTCATTTCACCAGTACCTAGTATGTCAATATTTATGCATTCCATTTCTTTTTTAACAATATCAAAATTTCCTACATTCATTCTTCTCACATTCTATGATCTAATCACTAGTGTCTACTTACAGCTGTTCCTCCTTATTTGTGTTTCCATATTTGAGGTCTCAGCCTCAGTTGTCTTATCTGCTAGTCTAAGTGTGCTTTATTGTACATAGGTTTTTTGAAGGTCTGTTATGTCAGAAGTGGATGGCCAATCCTCCTTCCTAGTCTGTCTTAATTTGAATGTTCATATTTAGAACAATATCTAATAGACAGACGTTTTACAGAAAGGAGCAGATGAAAGACTAAGATGCTCCTGATCCAGGCCATAGTCTTTACAATCACTTGTGATGCATCAGAATGCTGGACCCAGACTAGGGATGATAGAAAGAGAAGTGATGACTTTGAACTGTGATTCTGGATAAGAATATTGAATATACCAGGGGCTGTCAGGATCCATCCTGGAGAGGGTGAAATCAGGCTGCTCATTGGAAGCAAGGTTTCTGAGGCTTTGTGTGACATACTTTGGGCATGTTGCAAGGAGGGACCAGTCCTTGGAGAGGGATATCATGCTTGGAAGGGTGGAGAGACAGCGCAAGAGAAGAAGACCCTCAATGAGAGAATTAATTAAGTGACTGGGTTAATGAGGATAAGGTGTATCAGAGACAATAATGTTGGTACAGGATAGAACATGCTTCAGAACTATTTTACTATGAGTTACAAGCAACTCGAAGGCACATAACAACAACAATTTATAATATAGTATGTTGCTGGTTTTGTTGTTATATGTCATCAAGTTGACTTCTAGTGACCATGAAAACAATATAACTTAACCCTGCTTTTTCCTGTGCCATCCTCACAATCTCCAACATACTTGGTCCCATTGCCAGGGTCACTGTGTCAATCTATCTAATTGAGGGTCTTCTCTTCCATTGACCCTCTGCCTTTCCAAGCATGACGTACTGCTTCAAAGACTGACCCATTCTGACAGCATGCCTAAAGTATGTAAGACAATGATGAAGTTAAAGAGTTGAACAGAAGATTTCAAAGCAGAACTGGGGAGGATTCTTTAAAATGACCTTTATTGGTTGAATGAGACTATCTCTGCAAGGTTAAAACAAAATAAAACACTAGAGAATAAATCTACAAATAGTGTCCTCATAGAAATATCAATTGAGAATCAGTAGCAAATATTGAATGCTGACTGCACTATTATAAGCAAGTGGAATGAAATATATACAGTTGTGAGTGGTTCTGAGTGGATGCACCTGTTATCTTGCAGCTTTTAGTGAGGAGAGGGAGTCAAGATTGAAACCTAGATAACTAGATTCCTGTTTTTACTGCCAAGTAGCTCATGCTACAACTCATAGACAGTGTTATTTTTTGAAGCATTTTGGTTATTTTGTAGTAAAATATCACATAATATAAAAGACATCATTTTAACCATCTGAAAGCTGATAAATTCAATGACATTTAGTTCATATGTAATGCTTTACAACTATCTCCACTATCTTCTTCCAGAACTCTACCATTATCCAAAAAGGATACCCTGTATCCATTTGTAGTGATCCTCAATCCACTATCCTTACTACTGACAAGATTTTTATTTTTGTTGGTTTCAGTTTTTATCTTTTTTTTATTCTTCTTTTTCTATTTGTTTGTCTCTTTTGGATACTTTATGTAAGTTGACTCAAACTGTATTTTTACTTTTTCATTGTTGTTGTGTAGTGTAGAGTTGGAACTGACCAATAGCAGACCCTCCGGCAGATTTTCAGAAGTAATCAATTGCAAAAGAGGAGATTGTCCATCCATCTCACGCAGAGTGGCTGGTGACCTCAACCTGTGTGCCTTCGGGATTTCAGCACAGCTTCTTGCAACTAGGCCACCAGAGCTTCTTTAAGAATTTTTGAAAAATAAGCTTTTTATTATTAACATTTTCAACACACAAAGTAGAAAGATATGTTAAACTGATTCCATGCACCCTCCCCCAGATTTATTAGCCTTGGTAACAGGTGTCTTTTTACTAGGGAAGAAAAGAAGTATGTGAACAGATACTGGAAGGAGCTCTATGTTGGAGACTTTGTGCACCTGCGCTGCAATGAGATCATCCCTGCAGATGTCCTGCTGCTCTCCTCCAGTGACCCTGATGGGTTGTGCCACATAGAGACTGCCAATCTGGATGGAGAAACCAACCTGAAGCAACGCCAGGTGGTACGTGGCTTCTCTGAGCTGGTAAGTGCATGTGTGTGTCCTTCCATGAGCCCTAAAGATTGGGCCCTCTACCAAGACCTCTCAGAAGTCTGACTACCAAGTCAATTTCCTAAGGGACGTGAGCTCAAGGCCTCAAGGACTTGGTTTGTCCATAGGGTGTGTGAAGAAACAGAAGATGATGTTTCTGATATGATCTCCTTAACGTTCTATTGAGTCTTTCAGGTAGTGGCTGGAATATTTAAAAAGAATCAGGATGTTAACCAAAAGACTGCTGATATTTATCCAGTTTCTGTTTAGTTTGCTAAACACAGCTTAGAAGGGGCTAGCAGTCCCATTGTGTAACTTGTTCAAATGATCCTTTCCCACATGTTCTGATTCTAGAACAGGAGATGTAGGCCAATATCCTGTATTAGACCAGTGCCAAACATCTGCGTTATCCTGTATATCAGCAGTGAAAATTATGAAAGAATGTGTAGCCTTGTAATTAGCTATGTGGTGGGCATGGGGAAGGCAGTAACTGACCTCCACTACTTCACAAAGACAAGAGAGTCCCGTAAACAGCAACAGCAGCACAAAGCTAATTTTCTATGAGATCAGACATGAATCCACTCATTCTAAAACTTCTTACAATTATTAACACCAATTATCCTTCCTATGGTGCTTACCATTTCTCTATTAGATTCAGTAACATCTTAGAATGTTCACCTATAACTCCCAAACAGTAATGAAGATTGTGGGGTTTATTAAGAAAGTAAGAGGTTGTAGTTCAGATATGGGACACTTAATGTACAATTCTTAAGTCAAGACAACCTCCTTTCAGTTGTACTCACAGATAGACTTCTGTGACCATAGACCTTGTGTCTCCCTTATCTGGAGCTTTGCAAAGTTCTTTAGTCTTGACAAAGAAGACACTCTTTCTCTTTGGTCTTAAGCCACTTGATAACAAAGACTTTTTTTTAGCACTGCCAGTTACATGCCAGTGGCGCTCCTGCTCTGCCACTAAGCCATAGCCTGCTGGCACTTATCTGTAGCTCCTTGGGCCAGTAGCTTACAGCTCTGTTTTACCTCAGTTTCTGGTTCTTCATCACATCACCCCTGCTGTCACCTCTACAATTTCATCTCATTTCATGCTATCTTCAGCTATCTCTCCAGTGTTGCTCATCTCTAGTTTACAAGTTTTCTCATCTCTGGTTTGCACAGAGGCCTTAGGTCCAAACAATAAACTTTTTTTTTTTTACTGGTTTACTTACAAAGTTTGTATACATTGTTTTTCCCCACCAGATTTCCCCCCTTCCTTTATCCACCCCTGCCCTACCTAACAAAGTATGCAACCCTATGATTAAGCCCCACCTCCCCCATCCTCACCCTTCTGCTCCTCCCTCCCCGCCTTGGATCCTTGTACTCATTCTAGAATAATGGTCTTATACAGTATTTGTCTTCATGAAACGGAATTAGTTCATTAAGCATAATGCTCTCCAGTCCCTCCCAAGTTAGATAGTAATTTAAAAAATCATTGCTCCTGCATGCTGTATAGTATTCCACTGTGTGAATGTAACATAATTTCTCAATCCATTTCATTGTTTTTGCACATTTGGGCGGTCTCCATCTTTTTGCAATGGTAAGTAACACTGTTATGAATATTGGTGTACAAGTCTGTTTGTTCCTCAGTTCTCATTTTCTCAGATTATATTCCAAGTAGTAGAATACCTGAGTCATGGAATTCTATGTTCAGCTTTTTTGGGAAGCACCTAACTGCCTTCCAGAAAGGTTGTACCATTTTACAATCCCACCCACAATGTATAAAAGTGCCCATCTCTCCACAATGTTTATTACTTGTTGCCTTGCTAAACTTTACCACTGCTACTGGGATAAGATGGTAGCTTATTGAGGTTTTGATTTGCATCTGTCTTAATGCCAGTGATTTAGAGCATTTATTCATGTGCCTGTTGCCCATCGAATGTCCTCCTCTTCGGAAAGTCTTTCCATGTTTCTTGCCCATTTTGTGATTGGATAATCAGTCCTTTTCTTCTGGAGTTCAATGAGTATTCTGTAAACTTTCATTATGATACACTTATCTAAGACGGTATTGCCAAATGTTTTGTTCTTAGTCAGTAGATTATCTTTTTACCTTGTTGGAGAAATGTTTTGATGAGCAAAGAGATTTAATCTCTAGAAGGTCCCATTCATCACTTTAGCCTCTTCAAATTGTGCATTTCTGGCTGTATTTGGCAGTCTCTTTATATCATAGACTAGGTCTTTTAGCTTGATCCCAGTATGTCTCTTATGAACTTTATGGTTTGGGGCTTTGTTACCACCTTGAGTTGATTTTTATGTGTGGTGTGAGATGTGGATCCTCTTTAAGATTTCTGCAGTTAGTAGGTCAGTTTTGCCAGCACCATTTGTTGAAGATGTTGTCATATCCCTATTTGATATATTTTTATTTTCTTGTCAAATATCAGTTGACCATAAATAGATGGGTCCATTTCCAGGTTCTAAAATCTATTCCATTGGTCTATATGCCTGTTGTTTACCAATACCATACTGTTTTTATTACTACCGCTGTGTAGTAGGTTTTGAGGTCAGGAAATACTATACCTCCAACTTTATTTTTGTTCTTCAGAAATACTTTGCTTATTTGGGGTTTCCTTCCTCTGCAAATAAACTTAACAATTTCCCTTTCAAAATGAACTTGGTATCTGGATTGGTATTGCATTGAACAAGTAGATTGCTTTTGGTAGGGTTGTCATTTTCCCCACTATTGAGTCTTCCTATCCATGAACTTGGAAGCAGGAATGGCATCCACTTCTACATGCCTCTGGAAACTATGAACTATAAATGATGATAAGTGTAGAAAGGCTTCAGGCATTTTGTTCATAAGGTCACTATGAGTCATGCTCAACTTTACAGGAATCAACAACAACATCCGTGAATAGGGAACATTTTTCCATTTCTTTAGACCTTTTATTGAGTCTCATAAAAATGTTCTGTAGTTTTCTTTATATAGGTCTTTTGTGTCTTTACATAGGTCTTTGGTGTAGACCAATTTAGTAGTGACAGGATACAAGATCAGTATCCAAAAGTCAATGGGATTCCTTTATAGTAACAAAGAGAACTCAGAAAAGGAAACCAAGAAACCAATACATTTACAATAGCCAACAACAAATTGAAATACTGGGGAGTGAACCTGAAGAAACTGTATTCTTGATTCTTTTTTACTGATGCTAGGGAGATCCAAAAGTTCTTCTTTAGAGCCAGATCAATTTATGACTTACAAGATGGCAAACCTAACCAATTCCCACACTAGTACTCTACAGACATTATTTGCATGGTCACACCCAGTAAGTGAAATTTAGGGGAATAACTCCTTTCTGACCATGAGCAGGAGGGAGGCAAGTACATGGGTTAGCCATTAGCATCTACTGAAGCTTAGCAATTCCCTGCACTTTGTCTGCTCAACCAGAAATAGCTTCCTCCTCCTAACCAGTAGGAGGGAGAAGAGACAGGAATGCAGACCATTCATCAGCACTGAAAGCTCCCCCACTAAACAGCCATGGGAGAGGTGACAGGTACCTGGGTCAGTCATTAGCACCTACTGAAAGCTGGATGCTGCACTGCTGAGACCTTTCCATTTTCCTGGGTCTTTATCTAGAGCAAAATTTCCTGGGCAGCACTCCCAGGATTTTGCCTCCCACTGTGTGAAAACAACTTCTCACCAAACTATGGGAAAGATTTTGCCTCCCACTGTGTGAAAGCAACTTCTCACCAAACTATGGGAAAGAACAGAGAAGTGGGCCCACCATAGCTGGACAAAGGGAGAGACCCCAGGTTTCTGCCCCTCAAAGGAAAATTGGATGAGAAGCTGGCTCCAGGAAACAGAAAGCAAAGCCAGCCATAGAAAACCAGCAGGGAAGACTGTCACTGGGAAACTGAATTGAGGGCTGACTTAAAGTTTGCCGCTTATCAATAGCAACATAAATATAAGGAACTGTGAACAACCTGTGTATCAACAAACTGCAGGCACAACAGAAACTGCCTTATAGATACCAAGAAGATCTTTATGTCAAGGAAGCAACAGGCAGCTTCAAACATTAAGGGGGGAGTGGAGATCCAACACTATACAAGCCTTCTCTTGAAAAAGCAAACCAAATTGAAGATGCAAAGAAGATGCAGAGACAAGAAGGCTGAAATTAAATATCAACATGAAATTACATGAACTACTACTGAAGAAGTTACAAATAATGGGATAAAGAATTAAAACCATAAAAAAGAGAAACAAGAATTTTAAAAATCATAATTTTAGAAGTCATAAAACAGAGAGGGTACAACCAAAGCAGTACTACAAAACACAGAAATGCATGAAAATGCAATCGAGAATGTTATTGTTGGTTGCCTTTGAGTCAAGCATGATTTATAGTGACCCTATGAACAAAAGGCCTGAAGCCCTTCTACAACTATAAACATTTATCAAAATTTATATAGTTTCCAGAGGCATGTAGTTTAGCAAGTGGATGCCACTCCTACTTCCAAGATCAAATTGGCAGAATTTTTCAACCTATTGGAAGGACCAAAAAAAAGCTATCTAGAAGAGATGAAACAGAATCTGTAAGCTGGAAGACAAAAATATCAGTGGGAACTTACTAGAAGAAAAAAAACAGAAGACAGAACGAAAATAGGAAAAAATATTAGAATCATGTGGGATAACATCAAATACAACATATTCAGGATCAGAATTCCAGAATGGGGGGTGAAGAGGGAAACAAGGGACCAGGGAAGCACTCAGAGAAATGCAAGAGGTACTGGAAGAAAACTTGCAAGATATCACAAAAAAGCAAGGAAATCCACTTAGAAGCAGCACAACAAACTTAAAACAGACTAGATTTCCTAAAAAACAAACAAGCAAACAAACAAAAAACCACCAAGACATATCACTGTCAAATCCTCCAAAATAAAAAATGAGAATATAATTAAAAAAAAAGTGTGAGAAAAAACCCAAAGAGTCATCTACAAAAGAGAACCAATTG